ATAGACAGCATGATTTGTGAGCACAAATAAAACCTTAACTGGAAACAATTTAAATATCCATTAACAGGAAGATAGGACAGATAAATAAATTTTGACATATTTGTAAGGTAGAATACTAAATAGAAATCAAAATTATTAAAATATAGTGATATGCATTAGTGGAGATGAATCTTACGAAGTGTTGAGCAAAAGAAGCAAATTGCTAAAGAATGTATATGACAGGATACATGTCTATGCATTCATAATCATGCAAAATTAATGCTTTTGTAAGGGACGATATATACATGGTAAAATTAAAGAGAAAACCAAGCCTATTCCTTAAGTATGGGCCACTCTCAGAGAGGCAGGGAGTTTCCAGGGAGGGCTGGAGAGATCCAAATAGCCTTATCTGAGAGGTGGGGAATAAAGAAGGAGTAATGCTTTGCTAAGGCAGGTGGAGAAGTAAATCCATTTCCTCTGACACATCTCTGTGCAACCTGTTAAATCTGTCTTTGCTATTAAAGTTTTTGACAATACTGGCTTGTAGGAATGTGATCTTTTTCTTAAAAGTTTTCTGCATTGTTGAACTCCCAGATGTCACAGAATATGGTTTATGTGTTCTCTGTGAGTGACGAATTTCTGTTAATATGCCTTTGGGGTTTTTGATTACTTTCTTAATCTTATAATCCCCTTCTTAGACAGTCTTGAAGTATTTACTGTAAAGGGTAATATGAAATGGTTATTAGAGAAAAGAACTTGGCAAAATGGAAAGAACAGGGGCTTTGGAGTCCAACAGACCCAGGTTGGCAGTTTGGCTTTCCCATTTAATATCTATGCATTATTATTGGGTCAACGACTTACCTTCTCTGAGTTAGTTTCCCTAATGATAGGAAATGCATTTTTATATGCCTCCTTATTATCTACTTTTCTTTGCCTCTTTTTTTTTCTCCTCCCTTCCATTCTGGAACTATACTGATTAGTTGTTCAATATCTGGTAGTTATCATCATCTTTATCATTATCATTGTTAAAATCTATAGGGAATGATATTGAAGTAAATTTATAGAATCCACAGAAAGGCACTTGGGGATTTCAGAAGGAGCCTTGTTCTTTTGTTGTAATATAAACTGTGTATGTCTCCCCTGAAAAAAATCAATGTGAAAAAGCCAAAATTGCCTGTAACTATTATTACTTAATGATATATAACTCATAGGCCATAAATATCACTTTATTGAAATGTTTTCAGTGTTTCAGTGGCATAATCATAGAGCTGTGCATCCATCACTGATACCTAATTTCAGAATGTTTTTATCACCCTCAAAATAAACCTGGTATCTGTTACCAGTCACTGCCTATTTCTCCCCCTTAACCCCTTGAACCACAGATCTATTTTCTGTCTCTATAGATTTGCCCATTCTGGACATTTCATATCAATAGAATCATATAATTTATGGCCTTTTTTTAAAAATTAGAGACAGGCTCTTGCTCTGTTGCCCAGGCTGACCTCGGATTCCTGGCCTCATGCAATTCTCTTGCCTTGACCACTCAGATAGCTGGGATTACGGGCGTGAGCCACCATGTCCAGCCTAATTTGTGGCCTTTTGTGTCTTTTTTTTTCCTTACTTAGTATGATGTTTTCAAGATTCATCTATGTTGTATCCATACTTCATTTTTTAAATTGCTGAATAGTATTCATTTGTGGATGTACCGTACTTTGTCTATCCATTCATTAATTGATAGATATTTGGGCTGTTTCTACTCTTTGATTATTATGAAATAATGCTGCTATGAACATTCATGCACAAAGTTTTGTGTCTACATGTATTTTCAGTTTTCTTTGTTATGTATTAATACTTAGGTGTGGAATTGCTGGGTCATATGGTAACTCTCTGTTGAACATTTTGAGGGCCTACTCATCTGTTTCTAAAGCAGCCGTACCATTTTACCTTCCAACTAGCAATGTAAGAGAATTCCAATTTTTCCACATCCTGTCAACACTTGTTATTGTCTGACTTTGTGATTATAACCATTGTGGTGGGTGTCAGTTTTATCTCAATGTGGTTTTGATTTGCATAATGAGTTAATGATACTGAGCATCTTTTCATATACTTATTTGTCATTTGCATATCTTTTTTGGAGAGCTGCCCGTTCAAATCCTTTGCCCATTTTAAAATTGGGTTATTTGTCCTTTTGTGGTTGAGTTGTTAGAGTTTTTTTATATATATATACTGGATACACGTGCCTTATCAAACATTCGATTTGCAAATATTTTCTCCCATTCTGTTGGTTGTCTTTTCATTTATTTGAGGTATCCTTTGAATTTTTTAATTTTAATGAAGTCTAATTTATCTATTTTCCTTTGTCACTTGTACTTTTGGTGTCATATTGAAGAAACTGTGACTAACCAAAGGTCATGAAGATTTTACTCCTGTGTTCTCTTTTAAGAGTTTTGTAGTTTTAGGTATGATCTATTTATTTATTTATTTTTTTTTGAGACAGAGTCTTGCTCTGTCGTCCTGGGTAGTGTGCAGTGGTGTCACTGTAGCGCACTGCAACCCCCAACTCCTGGGCTGAAGCGATCCTCCTGCCTCAGCCTCCCAGGTAGCTGGGACTACAGGTGAGCGCCATGACACCCAGTTAATTTTTCCATTTTTAGTAGAGACGGGGTTTCCCTCTTTCTCTGGCTGGTCTGGAGCTCCTGAGCGCAAGCTATCCTCCCTCCTCAGCCTCCCAGAGTGTTAGGATTATAGGCGTGAGCCACTGTGCCCAGCCTAGGTATGATCTATTTTGAGTTAATTTTGTTTGTGATGTGAAGATTCCAACTTCATTCTTTTACATGTGGATATTCAGTTATCTCAGCACCATTTGTTGAAAAGATTATTATTTTCCTATTACCTTTCTTGGCACCCTTTTCAAAAATCAGTTGGCCAAAACTGTAAGAATTTATTTCTGGACTCTCAGTTGTATTCCATTGGTCTATATGTCTGTCTTTATGCCAGTATCACTATCTTGATTATTGTAGCTTTGTAGTAAATTTTGAAATCAAGAAGTGTGAGTCCTTCAATTGTTTTCTTCTTTCTCAAGATTGTTTTGGCACCCATAAATTTTTTTAAGGCAGTTATCTTTAGTATCTGGTATCCTTTCTTTGGGGAGACTAATTTATAAATATTAAAATGTCCACAGTTGGGATTTAGTAATAGAGAAGGAGAACTTGGATGTCTATGATTGAATCAGTGGCCGAATTTCTAAATAATTTATGGTTATTTAACTTCATTTGTTTATTTACACATTCTCTTGGGTCTCCACCATGTGTTAGATCTTGGGGAAACCATGATGAACAAGAGACAGGCCTCTGCAGTAAACTTAAGTTGACTCCTGGCTTTCATGTTTTTGAAGGGAATGTGGACTTTTGCCTATCAAAGATATGAATATGGTCATATCTTCGATGTATCTACCATTGGGTGTAAAGTTTTCTCTCTTATCATATTAAAGTCCTGTCTATGAAAATTTCTCTTGTTATTTATTCTGCTAGTATTAACAAAAGTACAAATGATTTTCAAAATTGGTTGAAGTAAATAGATATATTATAAATTAAATGAAACCATTTTAGTATCTAATGGTATTAGCAAAAAGATCTGATACCTCTCATCTTAACTTTAAAAATATATATATGTAGAAAATCTCTGTTGCTTTGTAGATCTTTTGTTTGTTTTAAATCGCCTCTCTAGTTTAACCAACTCCAAGTAAACAACCACAAAAAGATTTTTCCCCGCAGGGGAGAAGAGAAGAAAAAGACAAGAGAAGTAAAGGAAAAAGTCACTACCACATGATGTTGTTTAAAGGTCTTTGTGATTATAAATGGTTAAAAAATTGAGTTTTGTTTCATCTGTTAAATGTTCACACTTGAACACTACTTTTTTGTAATAAATGGCGATATCTTTATTAAAACAGAAAAAAAAAGTGGATGGAAGAAGAGGATGAATATCTTTAAGTAGCCTGTGTTAAGCATTTTGAAAATTACAAAAGCACCATATATTCTCAGTTCCTTTGTGCACATATATCTACTCCCATTTTAAAGTTTCCTTGAAAGCAAGGGCCTTATTTTATTCGTCTTTCTTACTCTATCGGTCACCTTTTCAGTACTTGGAAAATTTTAGTGTTCAGTATATGTTTACTGAATGATTGAATGGGTCAAGTAAGCCAGAAATGAGAGCTGACATTGTATGACCTTATGCTAAGTTAGAGTTTGCATAGCTTTTATTAGCTACTATCCTTGCTGTCAAGAATCTTGATTTTTGTGGTTGAACATGAAGATAAGACAAATACTCAACATGATATACCTTTAAAAAATAACATTAATTGGAATCATAAATAATATGAAAAGTAAATTGCACAGATAACCTAGATAAATATTAACATATATATATGTTAGAAGGAGTCACTTGGGTCCATAGGATGATACAGGGTGGTAGAGGAAGTCTTGAACAGAGGTAGAATTTCATCTAGATTTAAAAGAACTGAGAAAAAAAGGTTGATAGAGGAGGGGCTAAGACTTTTCCAGGTCAAGAGTTGGTTCTCTACAAGGGGATACTTGTCCTCTTTCTAGCCAGGGGCATTTGGAAATTATGTAGAAGGTTTTTGGTTATCCTAGTGTTTAGAAGTGCTGCTGACTTACATGAGTAGGACTGGGAATGCTAAAGTCCCACAGTGTGGAGTTAGGAATTGTTCTGGCTCAAATCTCAGTAGCACCCTGGTTGAGATACACTAGGATGGGAACAGATCTAGCTGCACAAGGAGGAAAATAGTGTTTGTGAATAGTGTTCTATGCATATACTATTTTTTTGTTTTGACATTGTGGAGATTTATTAGGAGGATACATGCAGTTAGGTGGAGTGGAGTACAGCAATGGAACAATTTAGGTAGCAGGACAGGATTTCATATTTGATCAGTTTGCATGATTTTGATTCTTGTTAACATTTTCTTTCTTCTAATAGTTTGATTTTTTTCTTTTTTTTTCTCTTAGAACGAGGCTTTGACTCCAGGTTATCATGGATTCCCAGCGAGGGACAGCCAGGTTGGTATCTGCTGTTTGTTACTCATATGACGTGTGTGTGTGTGTTTTATCAAAGCATGCTATGATAGTATTTCCTGAAATTACTTATTATGGAAGGTAATATGGCTTGTTTCAGCAATGAATTTACTTTTAGAGATATAAATTAAATACATTAATTCTAAAAGTATTATAATGATGATTGTTATTACAATTGTGGATATTATAGGAGAAAACAATCACTCAAGCAAAGTCATCATTACTTTTGTGTTTGTTTTTTCTTTTCCAAGCTATATAATAATGGTGTGACCTCATTTATTTGATGCCTCATAATTCTAATGCTGGATTCTAATAATTCTGATGCTTATTTTCTGCTCCTTAGCCCCTGCCTGCACAGATTTTTTAGGCCTTGCAATAATCTGCAGCAAGAAAATTCCATTCTCCTCCCTGTGGGAATTCAGCCTTATGTTTTTAATCAGGGAAGGCTTGCTTGAGAAAGTGAAGTTTCTGCTGCCTTTCTTTGTTAGATGAGGGGAAGATTGGAAAAAGCCCAGGCCCTATTGTTGGTCAGAGCAGAACTATTTCCTATGCGACATTCTCAGTATGGTTTAGGCGACTGTATAAAATGCCTTCCCTGTCTTTTTGCTGTTTGAAGGCTGGAGCAGAATTAGGATTAGAAGAACGGGCAAGGCTGCCTTTTAGAGAAAGTCACCTAACCTGTGAATGAAATTTGTCTCCTTGCTGTTTGGGGATATTGACATTTTCTTCAGGAGATCTGACAAGGGTAGCTCCTAGCAATATCTTTGAATGCCTATCCATGATTCCTTATAGGATTGTCAAGAAAAACCAGCATTGTTAGACATGTCCCGGGGATATGAGTCATTATAGTGCTAAACTAAAGGGTTGACGTAGTTTTCCCTTTCCAGAAGTTAACTGAATCTCATCAGAGCCCCTGAAGCTGATTTTAAAAACCAAGATGGCCCATAATCAGTAGTCACCTATTTGGAGGCCTTTCTGATTTGAGAGTATTTGCCCAATTCTTACATTTTTGGTGCTGGGTTGACATCAAACTGACCCCAGGTAGGGTATGGAGAGAAAGGTGAGAGAAGGTAGTGGTCATCTCTGTGTTCACCTCCCAGTGGCATTCTTGCTGTTAAAGTTGAAGATGGAAACTTTCGGTAAAAGATACAGTCATTTGCCCCAATTCTAAAGAGAATATAGAAGTTTGTTTGCTTGTTTTTCTCTCTGGTTTGGGTCTTCCCTAGAGCTTCTGTAAGCTATAAAATTTATGCCCTTTGATAGTAGTTTTATGTCATGGCCATATACCAGAAAAAATACTGATGCCTGGAGATCCAGTCCCCAGAGATACTGATTGAGTAGGTTTAAGATTGGGCTTAATCATTCAAATATTTAGAAATCTCTACAGGTGATTCCACTGTGCAGCCAAGGTTGAGAACTGTAATCCTGTGGGTTGCTTTAAAAGGAGTTACATTTTGTTGTTTCATCTTGTACTTTTCACCCAGGATGTGTAATGTATGAGAGATCATGGTTAGTCTCTTAATCTAGATTTGCATACTAATGCAGTTATCTCATTATTTATAAAATGTTGCTTATTTTGGATCTAGGAAGTTAAAGCTAATTGATGTGACGTATGGAAGTAGACTTACTGAGTGTAAAAGAATCTGAAAGGGTACAGTATAATACTGTGTTCTTCCTGTGGGGATTACAGATCAATAAGGAGTTAAGTAAAAGGAGTTAATAAGAATTTGTTAAGGCACAAAAAGTAGTCTCTTTTTGCTTGGAACTACTTTATTTTTCCTTTCTTTTGCAGCAGGGACCCACTTCTGTAACCTGCACATTCATTACTCATGCTATCTGGGCTATAGGCCTGTGCAGACCCCTTGCCATGAATTAAAGCTGCTGATTTACTTTGAGGCATATTCTGATGGTGACAGGTTTATTTTAGTTTGTTTTCTTGGGCTTTGTTTTGTACTCTGCTTGCATCTTTGAATTAGAGATCTTAAAGTAGTGCAAATAGGCAAATATTGAATAGCTGCTTGTTGTGTTTGATGAATGCAGAATCCAAATGAGTACTGCTAATTAATGCGCCTAACCTTGTGAACTCTCACTTTGTGCTTTGAGATTTGGGAGGTATTTATAAGTGTGAAACACTGGTCACTGAACAGCCCAAGCTGGGCAGAAACAGAACTTGTGATTTTTACTTCTCTTATGCATGGTTTTGGCTCAGAAAATCTAAGAGCCCAGCAGTGGGGGTGAAGGTGAATTTTAATTATGTGCCTTTATTTACTTTTCTTATTCTTTTGCTGTTCCTTTCTAAATACATAAGAATCATCCCCAGATAGGATTTTTATCAACATTTAATGGTGATTTTAAAAGAGGTAAAAATTATAATCTTTTGATTGTTGTAGATCACTTTGATCAATATTTTCTCATCTTATCCTCCCAATCACTTCTTGAAGTAGATGAGGCAAATGTTCCCTTTGGAAAGATAAGGAAATTGAGGCAAAGAGAAGTAAAGTGACTTGTCCAAGGTAACAGTTCAAGTTAGTAGCTGAATAAGAACCAAAATTTATTTTTTGAGGGCCCTTTGTGCTAGGGATTATTGACTCACCCAGGGCAAATATGGTCAGGAAAGAATGTACCCACTCACTCACATTTTATTTACCTTTTGGGGGCTTCGTAAAACTCTTGAAGCTCAACCATAGATCTAGGAGTCCATGACTCCTGGTTAAGGATTATTACACCTCAGTTCATTAGCACTAAGTGGACCAGCATTCCACTGTTTTAGTGACTCTTTCATCATGTTACATAAGCCCCCAGCAGCACATTTGAATCAGAAACCTGTGAAGAGAAGGAGGGGAAGAAAACTACCCTTGTAGAGGTTTTGCTTTTCTTCACCTCAGTCATCATTCCTGATCAGTTAACAAGCTTTTTGGGATGGCAATCCATTGCTTTTATAAAGCACTCTAAGCATTTCACTGTGCTTGCTAATGTGGCCTCTCTATGGAAGTAGAGGAGACAAACATTGTTCCAGTTTTACAAAGTGAAAACCAACTCAGAAAAGCTAAATATTTTACCTAAGGCCATGCAGAATTTTAGGTCGGTGATACGATATAGTGGTTTAGATTCCTAGCTGACTATTTTTTTGTGATTTATGTGCTTGTGCATGTTTCCAAAGTGTTGATTAAGGCTAGGATATTTTATGGGTTTGTAATATTTTTTAAATGGGAGAATACTTATATCAGCTCCAGAATTTTTATATAGTAGAGGCTTAGAAGCAGCAGTCTGTTTAGAAGAGGGCTTTTCTGCATAGCAAACTTATGGTTTTTGCTAAAATTGTTTATTTGGGATGGCTTTTAGGGGATTCCTGGAAAGTACAGTGGTGGTGGTCCTAAGACTGGCCCCATGCCACCTCTGGGTGCCACAACTTTATGTCTCCTGTAATTAGGGTGACCATATACATTTATCATTCAAGTTAAGGCACTTTTGAGAGTGAAAAGGGATTATAATTATATTGAAACAGTTCCGGGTTAAACAGATGTATGGTCGTCCTAGCTATAAATAAAAAAATACAATCAGTGTTCTCTTAACTGATGTGATCAGGACTAATAGGCCATGGGTTAATTTAAACAATTGTTTGAAGTGGGGAAATAAGTTAAAACTTTTATTTTAACTTAGATCATTTTATTTTAATTTGAACAAATATATGCTTACTCTTTCATCTTCTGATATGAGGTCAAGGTCTTTTATATGCATATAGATCTGATTGAAGTACTACTTGATTTTTTTTTTTTGCACAAACTGTACTCATAAAGCATCATCTATGAATTCTAATTTGTTTTTTTTTAGAGAGGAACAAGGCCTTAGTGACATTCAAAGCAATTTAGGTGAAACTGTCTAGATTTGTATGATTCCCCCTCCTTGCCCAGTCTTTTACAGTTGTCTTGCCCACATCAAATTTGACTGAGCAAAACTTTTTAGCGTCTTGACTTAGTAAGAATTCTCAAGGAATTCAAATTAGAGCTGTTTTCAAGGAAACTTTTGTAACTATTTCATTGATTTATGTAACATTTAATAATATAAGTACTTATAACTTCTATAAGCAGATAGGTGAATAAACAGAAGTGATTCTTGGTAAGCATAAAGCTCAGCTACTGGGAGAAGGGCTTGGGGGTGGAATGAGAGAACTGCTTACTAGTTTCAGGTGGTAAGAATGCCAGAAGCATCCCCGGCATACATGACTTGAAATGGAGAACATTAGTTAATTTAACAAGTTTGTTGATTAAAAGAGCTTATACTGTAAACAACTATAGGGAGGACTTATTTTGTTGTCAGAAACTTTGAATCTCCTTAGTGCTTACTTGGTTGAATTTTGTTTTAGAATCAACTCAGTCTGAGGGATGGGTGGGGGAAGAGGATTAGAGCAGATAAATACAAATTATAGATAATTTGCTTTGCTTCATTGGGGCAGCCTACTAAGTAAGGGATGTTCAGCAGTGGGATGCTTGGAAAACTAAGTGTTGAAAGTAATGCTGGTAGTTAGGAGTGCCCTCGGTGTAATCCTTTTTTCTTAGAACCTTAAATTATGGCTCATTACACTAACTCTTGAACTGTGTGGGAATGAAACGTTGCCATGTACATTCAAGATGAAAGATAGCACAGACTCTTGCTTGGGTTCAGGTGTTGAGTCAGTTATGGAATTGGGAATGTTAGTAAATTATAAAAACTAATGTCTGTAAGGTACTTTACAGTTTACAAAGTACTCCTATGTATATCCAGCTTTGATCTTCACAATAGCTCTACCAGGTAGGTTACTGGATTTTATTATCCCTATTTTATAGATAAGAAAAAGGCACAGAGGTTTTTAAATGAATCTCCCAATATCGCATAGGTAGTAAGTGGAAGAATTGGACTTGAATCCGATTTTCAGCCTCTGTGTCTTGTATTTCCTTTTTGTATTTTTCTATCAGTGTCTCTCTTCTTTGAATGTTGAACGTTCTCTT